GAAGTGATAATGATGTTAAATGTAGGTTTCTCAATCATAGCAAATGAACTGCTGTGGTGCAGGATGTTAATAGTTGGGATGGCTGTGTTTGGGGGGCCGGGGGGAGAAGGGAGAGAATATGGGAACTCTGTATTTTCTGCTCAGTTTTGCTGTGAACCTAAGGTTGCATTAAAAAAATAAAGTCTATTTAAAAATTTCTTCTAAAAATGAAATCTCCAGATTCACCTGGTTTCACTGGCAAATTCTATCATATATTTAAAGAAGGAATAACACCAATTTTATGTTATCTTTTTTTTTCAGGAAATAGGAGAAAACATTGCCTATACATTTTATGAGGCCAGCATTACCCTGAAATCCCTGTCACACAGAAACAGCAGCAGGAGAGAACACTGCAGAGCAGTATCCCTCACGGACACAGACACAGATATCACGGTCAAAGCATTAGCAATTTTAACTCTGCAAAACTAAAAAGGAAACTATGCCATGACCAGGTGGGGTTTATTATGTGATTGTAAGGCCATTCAAGATTTGAAAATCAATGAGTGTAATTTACCCTATTAACAGTCACAGAGGAAAAACACAAGATTATATCAATTAATGGAGAAAAGTAGTTGACAAAATTCAACATCATTCATGTTAAAAACTGAGAAAACCAGAAGTTGAAGGGAACTTCCTTGACATAATCAAAGGCATCTACAAAAAACCTGTAGAATTATGTTAGAAGGAGAGTTTTTCAGAACCAAGAACAAGATTACTCAGAGCTGAGGATTTTGAGAAGTTACACTGAAATTTGTACCAATTTTATTAAAAACAGAACGTATTTTTAAAAAGTTTACAAAGGCAAAGCATTTCTTCTAAAATCTATTCTCTTTCACTAAGTACAGCAAAGTACCTTAATTAAGTCTTGAGATTCTAACAGCCCTAAAAGCAAGTCATAAAACTGATATTTACTTGGGACTATAATTGGAATGACATTTTGGGAGGGTCACTTGAAAATGTTTAGCAAGAGCCTAACATGCATACCCACTGATTAAGAATGCCAGTTTTAGAAATTTATCCTGAGAAAATTGGCAATGACAAAGATACAAGGATGTTCATTACAGTGTTGTGTATATAATAATAATAATAATAATAATAATAATAATAATAATAATAATAATAAAAAGACCGGAAAGGGTCCAAATATCCAACAACATGAAGTTGATCAAGTAAATTGTGGTTCATCATATAATGGAATACTATACGGCCATAATAAAAAAATACAAAAATTATATAATAAAATAATGTATGGCAAGGAAAAGTATTCACTATATAATGCTGAGGGGAAAAAAAACGAGTTATAAAACTGTAGTATTATATGTTCTTATTTCTGCTTAAAATATGTATATGCATATGAATATCTGGAGGGGTATACACATGTATAAATTAATAGTTATTTACTGTTGAGTTTGGATCACAGGTGATTTTTATTTACTTTTTTTTGAGAAGTCTGTCTTCTGTTTTTTCTACAGTAAATATCTTTTCCTTATATAATAAAAATAATTATTAAATATTTACTTGAGGCAATCATGCAATTGTTAGTGCTTCCCTAATCCTTAGAATGCTAAATACTGTATGTACTATGGGGAAGTGGAGGAGGGGGACAGGCAGGCGGCCTTTAATGTGGTATACTATTTTATCATGTGTATTTGTTATGAAGTTTTGGGTTAATCTTAGCTTTAACAATCTGGAAAGAATGTTTAGTGGAACATAGTAGTGAATAGTTAAGCTGCACAGGATCACAATCTACTCTCATAGATTCAATTTTTCTCCTCTTCTTGGAATGCTGAGTTTGTTGCGTAAGGAGCAGGTGGCTTTCTTTTTTATAAGTCTCTTGACTGCCTTGTCAGACACAGCTCTCTCAAAACTTTTCTGGGAGCTAACCAAGCTTTATCTAAACAAACCCAAAATGGCATATGGACTTCATCCACATGGTCATATGAATCCTTTGGCTGATGACTCCAGCCATGTATCTAATCGGTTTTATAAAATCCATGCTTGAAGGAGGACTCTATATGAGAGTGTAGCGCTGTGGGGCGAAGGCACGTAGTGAGTGGCAAAGAGACCCAAGCTGCTACCCTGGAATCTGGTCCCAACACTGCCACCAGGATTGGCAGCATAGGTCCCAACAAAGAGAAGAATCCTAATAATTTTGAGTGAAAATTTTCTATCATGCATTTATTTAAGCTTAGATCTACTAATAACACTTCTTTAAATGCCGTGTTAGACAGTGAAATCTGGAAATAATTATTGAACACCATATATAGTGTTTACAATAGAATCACATTTCTTTTCTTTCTCTTCCCCTCCCACTTTTTCCTTTTTTTGCATAAAAAATAGAATGCTGCTGAATGGTACCCAAATGTCTGTTGTATACCATGCCAATACAGCAGCCTAGCCAAAAATGCGAACAGAACAGTTTGCCAAGTAAAAGAAAACATAACAAATTGGTAATGGTTTCTATCTTGACAGAAAATGAAAATGATCCCTCAATGTGTGGTCACTCATGTGGACACATAAAACTGTCTTAGAAGCAATCATTTTACCTCAGATAACAGACCCTGACAGTGTAGTCACAGCACTGGCTGACTTTTACTTCTTAGAAAAGCGGCAACCGTGACCTACAAAACAGTCTGGGAGCCATGTAATTTATGCATAACACACGTGCACATGCCATGCACTCATAATATTTGCTATAAATCATTTTGAATACAAGACTTCTTCTCTGAGTGGAATATACTTCATGAGAGATGATCTAAATCACCAGAGACTTGATAAAGCTGAACTGGCTTCTTTACGAACAGAAATAGTGTTGCTTATCAGGTTACAAAATTTCAATAGTCTGTGTCACAATAAAAGGGCATTATATAAGGGCCCCAGGGATTCTGTTGGATTCTGTAAGTGCCTTGGAAGCTAAAGGATTTTATTAGATGTTAGATAAAACAAATACAAAAAAAAATGTGCAGGTACATAGTGTACAGCTCTGACTTTCTGTTTAGGAAACTGCAATTGAAAGAAGAAATGAACCCCCTGAAGACCTGGAAATAGCTCCTTTATCGTATTTCCCCTTCCTTTACCACTTATTTTTGTTCCCCAGATGGAGAACTGGCCAACATCAGTGATCAGTGGTTTTTCCCCCACTATCTGGTGAAGTTTTCCCCCCACTATCTGGTGAAGTTTTCCCATTTGTTTAACTTTCTAATGAGAAGGTTAGAACAATGATTGTATTGTGAAATCATATCACAAACAAGAATGACACTCTTAATCACACTAATTGATATCTGAAGCTAATGAGGAATTCAAAATGAGAAAATACAAGGGGCTAGGAAGAACCTTGGGAAGTTAAATGGTCTTGCCAAGTTGAAAGTAAATTTGAATCCTGTGGGTTATGAGTTGCAAATGGAACTTCTGGGTTTAAATTTGTTGGTGACTTTCCTGTTCAATAAAAAAGGACTTAAATGGCTTATAAAAAGGTTAAAAAAACTTATTGGGCATCACACTGCTCTTACAAAACACCCTCTTGATGAGTTAAGTGTAAATGAATCAGAAACACATGGATCATATTTCCTTAAAAAACGCATATGAATTCAAAAATAAGGGGAAGACGACTTGGCAAAACATTTTGGAGTGTGGTGACTGAACCCAAAACATTTGAAAGATATTTTGAGACATTCAAGGAATCCAAAATAGAACTAAACCTGTCCAGTCACATAAAACCCAGAAAGTTCTATGCAATGTGCATTTATCTCTATGGGTCAATCAATACCCACTGGGCCTTCGCCTTTGGCACAGAGCTATGGAGGCGCGAGCTTCTGTCTTTAAGCAGGTTTGAATTTAAGTATAAACAAATATACATAAATAATAGACACCTGTTAAAAAAGACCCAGGGTTTCACAAAACAATTTGGCATCATAACTCAGACGGTATAGAAACTATATTCAGAGAAATACACAAGTCCTTCCAGGGTCCTAGTGTGAGTCGGATTCATTCCATTCAAATCATCATATCCTCAGCCCTTTTGATTGAAGTTATATATACTTTCAGAGTCTTACTTGCTTAAATGTTTTCTTAATGAGTGTGTTTATGTCTTTTTTAATGTGTGTCCCAGCCCCCTTTCCTCCACCCTCTATGTCTGTGACTGCTCAACAAATCTTGCTGACTGATTTCCTGGAGAATGGGAGTGCTGGACACAGTTTTGAAATAGGGGCGAGATGCTGTTTGGCAGAGAGGAGTGAGGCTATGATTTGGGTTGGGGTAATGGCACATGTGATAGTTCAGGGGCTCCAGAGGGTGAGTCATGTGTGTGGGGGGGACCCACTGGCTTGCTTGCAGCAATGTGCCTGAGCCAGGGTGCAGTGGGAGACGGAGGCGGTGAGGTGTGGGGAGGCCTAATGTACTACATGTGAAGTCAACTGGAGGACAGAGGAGTGTGATAAGGGAAAACACAATTCTCAGTCTTTTTTTCTTTCTTTTTGCCAGTACAGGATAAAGCGCTAAGCATAGGACACGTACAAGTCATTAATTCCTTTATTTCTTATCAGTGTCTTAAAAAGCTGAAAAATATCCAAAGATAAAAACAAGTTAACTATGCATGTATTTCTAGGTTCCTGTAGGTCATAAATTTGAAGAGACACTTAGTAGGGTTATGAAATGGATTGCTGAGTTAAAGTGTTTGTGGGAAAGTGTAAAAATTAATGACTTAGAATCTTTTAAAGCTGTTTTTCTTAGTTGTTTGATGTGAGTCTTATCTTTTCTACAATATGAGAAAGTTATTAGGGCTGGGATATGGTCATAGGCTTCTTGAGTATGTCCCACAGGCCAGCACAATGCTCAGAACACACCAAGCACCCAATAAATACGTGCTTACTGAAGTGAAATGAAGTAAAGGGTGCTAAAGCCCTACAATGGTGCTCTGAGTCTATTTGTTCATGTTTCATACAAAGATCAAAGCCCTTACTTACCATCCTTCATCATCTTCTACTTCCGTTTCAGAAACGTTATTTTCAGGAGTTTCAGCAATTGCTTGAGTGAGTTTAGATTTAAACTGGTTCAGCAACGCAAGGGTCTGAAATAAGAATAAGGCTGCTAAATTTTCTGACAAGGATAAATATCATTTTAGAAGAGACACTTAAATTTGTTACAAAATATCCCACCGAGATGTAAAACACTTAGATACACTTTTAATTTTGAAGGAAAATAACAAAACTGCTTTCCAGCTGCAACAGTGACTGATATTCACAAAACCTGACATTACCCTGTTTGCATTTACCTCAGAGATACATGACTATTTTCTTATTTGGGAAAGATAAATTTGCTTATATAGAAGACATTTAAATTTTAAAATGCATGCTTATTATAAATAGCTTACTTTTCAATGTCCACAAGACAGGGAGGTAGTTCATTAAGATACGTGAAATCAAAAACAAAACACGAACTGATAGTATTTTTCATCGAACAAATTTCCAAAAATGTAAAAATATCAATGTTGGGGAAGGTGAAAGAAACGAACACATTAACTGTTGGAAGATGGGTACACTGGAGTGATTTAGAGAGCTGTTTATATGTATTAGAATCTTTACGATAATCATTCCCTTAGATTCAATAATTCAAATCCTGGGAATACATGTAGAAAAAAATCTAAAACACAGAAAATGGCTGATGCAAAAGAAGTGCGCTGTGGCAGCAGTCACACAAGAGGAAAAATGGAGACATGTTAAATGTTGCTCAATAAGGAACTAGATAAATTTGGTAAAAAGCAATAAATATGCTATTACACTGTTATTAAAAATTCTACACATGAAGCATTACCCTGTATTGTTAAGTGAAAGAGGTAGTATATAAGTATCATGTTTGTTGAGTATGTTTTTTTAAAAAAAGGAGACATTCCCGTGATTCTTGTTTGGCTCCCATGCCCTTTGTGGGGAAGAAGAGAGAGTACTTCCAGTTTTGGTAATCACACTGCCTCCTGGCTATAGCTTAACAGTAACAGTCTGCTCCAGTATTTGAGCAGAGAACACAAGTTAGAAAATAGGTTTTTATTCTACTGTTTAAAAAAGTACATAATTATAAAATGGGATAAAGTACTATCTATATATAAAAATCAAGTATCTAAGATACTGATACAGTGCTAAAATACATGTGCTAATACAATACAATGTGCTAAAATACATGTGCTAATACATATACAATTCAGTGCTAAAATACATGTCATAAGGAAAACAGTGTGTGATAATTCAAGATGTGAACAACAGGTGTAATAAGGAATCACAGTACACTGCCAGGCTCCAGACCTTATCTAACAAATGTCGTCAGGACCACAGTGCATGAAAAGATTAAGTAGGTTTTGGTGGTCTAGCACCTAAGCGCAATAAAGACAGGTGGTGCTAAAATAACTGCAAGAAACCAAGGCGGTTACCGCTAAAAAATGATAGTGAAGTGTGCCTTGTATGTTTCTGCAAAATTTAATGCTCACATGAACAACAGCTGAAAATATACACATTACCATAGCTGTTGAATGAGATGAGTTTGGGGGAAAAACTATAAATTCCTACTATAACTAAAAACTACAAATATCCTCACAGGCATTCTGAGGGCTGCTTAGTGTTAGGGTTTAGATATTTTACCCGTTTCTAGAGTAGTAATTATAGGACAAAGCTCTTGAAACAATGTTAACAGATAAAGAAGGCATCCCTTGTTATTAAACCTTATTCATTAAAGCTTTTTGCCTACAAACCTTTATTGTATTTGCTTTACAATAAGGAAAAAGTTTATTGTAGAAATATTAGAAAATAAATAAAAACAAAACAAAAATATCTATTGTTCTATCACTCAGAATAACTATTGTTGACATTTTGGTATATATCCTTTACGGTGTGTCATGTGTGTTTGTGTGTATGTATATACTTATATACCTATATCTGCATTATATAAATATACATCTCCATATGTCTGTCTATCTATCTATCATCTATCTATCTATCTATCTATCTATCTATCTATCTATCTACTAATCATCTATCTATCTATTGCTTAAAAGTAAACTCCATCAATTTATAATGGTAGACTTTTGCACACTTGGAAATGTCTTTTCCAAGAGCATACAGAAAAACGAAAATGAAGGAGATTTCTTAGAGGAATGAAATTTTAAAACTTCCTAGCAATTTACACTAGCCCTGGATCTTTTTCCTTGAGTTGTAAGTGGCAAGCCAGTCTGTTTTTCGAGCCAGTTAATGTGCTACTGGCATTTGCTCAGAGAAGGAGGCTGTGACAAACACGAAAAAATATCCTCTTGGCCTTGCTTTGCTTTATTCAAGGTTGGGCTTTCTCTAGCTCTATTCTAAAGGCAAGAGAAGACACTAGGCAGAAAAACAAATATCACGAAATAAAGGGGCAGAACATAGGGTGAAGAAGATAGGATCTGCAAGGAGGCATTTCTGTTTGGCACTTGCAGGGGAATTAGTCTTCTGGATTTTGCTGAAGGAATGCATGGCCAACCTCTGACAGCATGGCTCTCCGGCACAGCGAGAGCCTTCCCAGTGTGGGGAAGCTGTTTTGGAGGGGCCCTGCCTTGGGAGGCTTTGTGCATACATAGCTACACATAACACTCTCTCAACTGGCCTCTGTGCCTCCAGTCCTGCCCTGGGTCCAGGCTAGTTTCCATACTGCAGCCAGGTGGGAGGGATCTTCCCGAACTGCAAATGAGAGCATAATCCAGTAATACCTTGGTTTGTGAGCATAATTTGTTCCGGAAACAAACTACTCGTATTGCAAGACATCGCTTGTTTACCACGTTAAAATGTATTAGAAATGTTTGCTCGTCTTGCGGAACACTCGCAAACCAAGTTACTTGCAATCCAAGGTTTTACTGTACTTCCTTCCTTTGATGGCTGTCCAGTCCCCATAGAGAAAATCTAAACTTATTATTAAGGCTCAGAAATACCTTGCATGAGATGGCTTCTGCTCACTCCTCCAGCTTTGTCTTCTCCCTCACTTATTTTCCTGTCATACTTAATATCTTTTAGTTTTTTGCAGAGATCAAAGACTTCTCATATACTCTTCCTTTTGTAGCCACATATCTCCTGCTCAACCTTCAAAGCTCAGCTGACAAAGGGTTTTCTCAGAAAGGCCTCCCCAGATTCTTCGGACATGTTAGGTCCTACTGTTACCCATTTACATAGCTCCCTGTACCTAACCCATCATAGTGCTCATCCTCTTTTACTGGTATTACTGTTCTTGTGTAACTGGCTCTTTTTCCTGATAGCTCAGCCAGCATAGATTTAGTCACCTTGTTTACCACCAAATACAGTGATTAGCACATGGTAGCTTAGCTTCTTAATAATTATTTGCTGGGAGGGGGAAAAAGAGGAATGCATGAATAAGAGTGATCCTTAATATCTTTGGTAGTATATTCACTACAGTTGCTATTCAAAGGACTTTCTGATTCCATAAAAACAAGTTAACAATGTAATTTTTCTTAATTTTGATGTCCCACTTCTTCTGAAAACTGTACAGATTAGTTATCTGTAATTATAGTTTCCTATACCTAACTTCTTGTTGAACTTTCCCTATGATTATTTTCATGCTGAGTACTGATGCATGATTCTTCCTTATCAGTAATTAGGTGTCACTTATAACATTCATTTATCCAAATATGGTTGGGCTTTTAAATCTACTTTTATTTTGCCTATTTTATTTATACGTCTAAAGTGGCATGTCCTCACATGTTCATGGCAGCACCAACAATGTAAGATTTTGGTCTGTCCTTCTAGCTCTTCAGCAAGAAGCTGCTGGGCCGCTAAGGTTTATTTTATTGGTGCTGAGCGCTGCGTGTTGTGTATGATTGACTCCCAGACTGTAGAGCTAGATTCCTATCCCTCGATTCTTGATTTCTGACAATCTTCTTATTTTACTTCATGAAAATACAGGAATTACTTGCAATAAGCAGAATTTTGTAACATTATTTACAGTAGAAGTCAATGGTGAACCGACACCTTATTTACAGGCAATGTACAATTTCAAGTGGAGTCAGCATGTGAGATGCTGGGCTAGAAGAGGTCCCTTCATCATTTATAATCACCACTTCTCTATTTCATAATATTTAGTATCTGATAACATGTGGCTTTACAAGGTTCCTGTGCTTGATATAGGAGTACAAGGTTGAAACCTGAAAGTTTTAGGCTTTTTATCTGTATGTCTGAAAAGAACTCTATCATGTGGACCTTTCCATGAGTGGCCAACGCCCCTGCCATGTCACACTATATAAATACATCCCTTTTCATTTTTAAGAAGTAGTGCGTCCCCTGATGTATAATCAAATTAGGCTCCATTAACAACACTTGAAGACACTTAAAAGGCAATGAATTATGTATGGATTTTACTTTGTGAAGTTACCTGTTCTTCCCGGGAAGTTCCTTTCTTTGACTGTTGCTTCTTCAAAGTTTCATACTTTTGCTTTTCTCTCCTGTATTCTGCAACAGCACCTTCTAGAGCAGCCTCGTCCTCTGAAGAAGAATAGAATATTCTTAGAATAAATAGTAAAAAGGCTGTGCATTCATATTTATGTCTATTCTCGTATCTCTGAAGAGGAGGTCAGAACCTGGGATTGGTTTTCCCTCCATTTAATTTAAAAATCAAACCAATAAACTCCACCAGCTCCACAATTATTTCCTAGATTAGAAAGTGACCAATGTTAATTTATCAACCAATTTTATAAACATCTTTATTATATACTGTGCTATTATAGTTGTTCTCACTTGTACTTATTTGACTGAAAATCACCTATCTCACTTTTACAATTAAGATTTTCCAAAATTCAGCAATACCATTTTATACTATTGCCTTGCCTTATAAGATATAATCTTTCAATATTGGTTGATTTTTCAACCAATTACTTGACACTTTTGTTCCACAGTTAAAACAATGATAATAACAACAAACAACTTCCATTTGATGGCATCATAAAATATAAATATATCTAACAAATAAGTGAGGACAGTTACCTGAAGCAGACAAAAATAATTTTCACTAAATTACAAATTAGAAAACAAATGTATAGATTTGATCCTGCAATAATTCTATATGAAGATTAGTTAACATCTGGGTTCACAGAATACCATGTTGCCCCCCAGAAACAAGTACTTGTACTAACATTTTATAATACCTTATATGTATACATATTAATGAAAATCTGTGACTTTAAAAAGCAACAACCTAGCCAACTCTTAACCAATGTGCCACTCGGCTGGTGGTTCAGATCCCACATTAGGGCCAGTGACGCTGTGCCCTCTACAGCTAAGATGGTGAACAACAACTCAACCTGGAGCTGGGCTGCCATGAGTCGCTGGTGATGGTGTAGATTGCAGCCCCTGCTGCAGTGGGGCCGCAATGGGCTGCAGTAAGCTACCATAAGTGACTGGCGGCTAGCCTAAGTGGCCGGCAGCCGACATGAGCTGCTGTGAGCCACTGTGAGCGGCTGTCCAATGGCCGGCAAGTGACTGCCTTACCCGGGAAGAGTGCAATGATCACAATACCAACAGGGGCCAGTGAAGCAACTGAAGAACACACACAGACAAACATTGTAACTATTTGAGGTGATAGGTATATTAATTAGCTTGATTGTGGTAATTATTTCATATTGCCTTCTCTAGTTCTTAAATCTTCTGAGATTTTTAATTACCTGGGTTAAGGATGACTTTTTTCTCCTCCTGTTTTAATTTCTAGTCCAAATGGACAGAGAAATAGCTTTAGAATAGCTGTGAGGTTGTCTCGTCTTTTATTATGTACAGCTGTTATACCAGGTTCCATCTGGACCACACGGGAATTGTAACCAAAACACTTTTACAGCAGATGGTAGACACCTGCTGCACAAACCCAACTGTGTGAAAAATCTGGTCACCTCTTTTATTTCCTATTGAGCATATTGTATTATAATAATATAAAGTACTTCTGTTTATACTGTGATCAACTATGAATGAGCACAGCATGTTCATTTTCACGTTATTTCTCAGCAATATATGCTGAGCTAATTTCCTTAGCTCCATGTTTCAGTTTGCTAATTCTCTGTTCAGTTGTATCTAACCAGTTTTTGAGACATAAATTGAGTCATTGATTTTAATAATTATATTTTTTATTTCTATTTATAGATATTCAATTTGGTTCTTTTTCAAATTCACCCACTCTTTTAATAGCCTTAGTCTTATATTATGATCTTTTATGCCTTTAAAAATCTATTTAAAACAAACTTGTTATGTTGTCTCTTTCAGATTGTTCTTGGGGATCCTTCTGACTCTGTCCCCAAAGTGGTCATTTCTCTATGTGTTTTCTAATCATTAATTGTGAGTTTATCTTCAGCCATGGCTGCATCTCCATCATGCTCCACAGGAATCCTAGGCACACAGGATTGTGTAAGAGTTTCTACAGAGAACTTTTGCATTTGTTTCTACCAGGCCATTAAGAAGTTCCATTGGTTCAAAGCCATTTGCTTTCCAAGTTAATTTCTTGTATTAGGATTCCTGTACCATATAGGTAGTGTACATTAAGGCTTTACAGCCATGCTTGGTAGAGGTTTAGAGTTTTGATTTTGATTTTTTATGACAGACGGCTGTTTTTTCTCCTCCCACACATAGCTCTGAAAAATGACAAGTTTCTTTGTGGCCTTCTTGACCAGAGGAACAGTTTTTCTAGTTTCCACCTTTCCTGACTCAAGGCCATATCTCTATCCAAGTGTGAGACTGAAACCCCAGCGTCTAGCTATTAGAGCTTACATCTGGTTCCAATATCCCCAGGGTAACTATAGTGTCAGCTTGCCCACTTAATGCTCTGGTTGTGCTTCCTCTTTGTTTCTGGTACCTAGGAATTTTCCCTCCTCTCTTTCAATCTCAAGCTCAATCTTGCTCTCTCTCCCTCTCTCTCTCTCTCAGCTAAGTATTTAAATTGGGCTGCATTGTGTTCTACCCAGCATTTCTATATATTTGTAGGAGAAAGAAGTTCTGTGTTAACTCAGTCCATGTTGCCAGAACGAGAAATAGCACATTCATTTCTCATTGCTTGAATCCCCCTGAATAAACAAAAATTGAACAAGTGACTAGATGACTTTAGTGACATAAAACTGGCTAATAAAATACACAAGGAGTTTGAAAAATTCAGTGTCTCTAAGTACAGAGTGCTCTGTACTCTTTTACTCTTCTTATAAATCTCAATATACTGGATGATAATTCATAAATAATAATGATGCAGTATGATGACTATTTGACCTTAACTGAAATTTCTATAAAATATATGCTAAATAAATAGGAATGAAAAATGGGGGGGAAAAGAGCATTTACTAAGAACGTTCTATATGTTAGGCACCATGTTAAGGTGCTTTGATTATCTGTGAAGAAAGTATTTACTTATTTTACAAATGAGGTAACAGGATTGGACCACAATCAGGATACAGAAAAATGGATTTGAGCCCAAGTCTGTATGATACTAAAGGCCCACACCATGCCCTACTATTTTCAATTAAAGCTTCAATTCAGAAAATAAAATTTAGTAACTGCCCCCCCATATACTTGGCACTCTGAGAAATGCCATGAAAGATATCTAAAACATGTATGATACAGGCTTTTTATTCTAGAAAGTAATCTAAAGGGCAAAATGAACACACACATGTGAAAATAACTAAGAAATCAGTCATTGATTATAAATGTTAAATTGCTCATTCTTGGGTAGAATACCAACCTCCTAGAAGACTTAAATCTTTCCTACATTTTAGTGTTAGAATAAAATTTTTAAAATATCTTGGCTGTTTCTGAGATAAAATTAGGTAATCTATATGAAAGGGCTTGGTGAAGAGAATGTTTAATACCACTGTAACCATCAGTTTACTACTACAGCATCCATTTACTAGAGCACCAGAGCTAGAAGTTACCTTGAGGATCTTCTAATCTAACTTCTCCATTTATAGGTGAGGCAACTAAGGTCCAGGTAAGTGAGGTTTCTTAACTAGCATCCACCGTGGATTAGAAGCAGAACCTGGGCTAAAACTGGTGTTCTGACTTTTACTGGAGGTGACAATCTGCAGTAAGACTGAATGTTAAGTACTGCACTTTTGTCCCTACATGTTATAAAGAATGCCTCTAACCCTTCCCCTAAGAGCTAGTCAGAAACTTAATCCTTGCTCCATTGATCCTCTTCATTATGAAACCTTTTTGTTCTGAGAATAAAGGGGTGATGACTACTCAACTATTGGTTACTTAGCTTATAAGCCAATGGTATCTATCTACAAATCTCATTTTATAGATAAAAGGGCTCTACTTTCTCAGGACCAGAGCTCAAGGAGCTAACAGATCCAAGTAGCTACACATTCATTAATTAAAAACAGTGTATTGAGTGATTATTATATGTCAGAAACTGTAAGCCTGCTTATAAATAAATTTTTTAAAAATCTGGATCCATTACTTCAAGGTAATTTTTGAAAACTTTCCATAATAAATGAAAACTTTTATGTAAAGATATGTTACCAATAGTAAAGAACATTTGAAAATAAAAGGGATAGATTTTAATGGATATAGAAAATTATCAGTGCTACTGAAATCGCCTATCTCATCATAATTTCTGAAAGCTACAAAGTATGTTTTTATCAAATTTTATATGTACCAGATCTTAAACTAATTATAGGAAAAGAACCAGACTTGAAAATAGCTAATACAATAGCTAACATTTCAAGTACTCACTATGTGCCAGAAACTAGTACCTGAATTACTTGTTTTAATCCTTATAACCAACAACCCTATGAGGAAGGCATAGTATTATTCCCAGTTTGCCAATAAGGAAGCTAAAGCAGTGGAGGTTAAGTAAGTTATCTCAGGAATTATAAACACTGGAATATAAACTCATGCAGTCTGGTTCTAAAGTACAACCAGATTGGTTTTTTTCTTCTTCTTGCCTGAGATATGAGAAAACTTAGAAGAAAATACTCAAATTTGACATAAAATGGCATCAGGTCACCAACGGGTATGCTCATGAAATAAATCCTATCAAAAAAGTCCTAAATTCCTCCCAAACTATAACAAATGGGACGTGTAGAATCCTTTATGGTTTTTTCTTGATTCTCCTTAATTAATCATATTTTCCCCTCATGTGACCTTTAAATACTTTGTAGCTCCTAACCACACTGTATCATAACTGCTTCTTTGTCTATATTGCCACCTAGGCTATAAACTCACATAGCAGGGACTATGCCCTGTTTGTGGGCTGGCATTATGCCTAGTATATAGTATGTACTCAATAAGTAGTAGCTGAATGGACTAATGAAGAGATTGATCATTTTCAAGTCTTGGATTACAACAGTGTCCACAGTGGCTTATTGCTCTTGCTAGATGAGCAGCTGCTGGAGGGGCTTGTAGCATACACATACTTTTTCAATAGATAATTGCCTAATAAGTTGAGTTGTAAGGAACTAAATAATTTCTGACACTTAAAAAATATTTCTTTCTTTCTTTTTTTTTTTTAATTGGAG